TATTAGCAGTACTAGCAGTAATGGTAGTATTAATATAAGAAGTTCTATTAGTTGTATTAGATGCAGGATCAGCTGAAGTCATAACTGTTCATTAGAAGTAATATTAGTAGAGGTGGGTGTATTAGTAGTAGTGTTAGAGGTAGCAGTCGTAGAAAAATAGTTGCACAAGAATTGTTAGTAGTAAATGTAGCATTAATAATGGAAGAAATTTTAGAACTAAATTGTTATTATTATTAGTACTCGTAGTATAATGGCTGTTTTATAGATAATATTATAAGTAGAAGTATTAGAAGTTGTTGCATTGGTAGCAGTTTAAGTGGCGTTGGTAGTGGTAGTACTAGTATTGGTAGTAGAAGTAGTAGTAATAGTAGTAGTAGTAGTAGTAGTAGTAGCAGTAGTAGTAGACGAAAGACTGATAGTTGCAGTATTATTACTATCAGTAGTAGTACTCGTAGCAGTTGAAGTGATATCAGTGACAGTAATACAATTAGAACTACCAGTAGCAGCAGTAGAAGCTATAGTTCTGTTACTACCTCTGATTTTACTACCAACAGTACCACTACTACTGCTACTACTTATACTACTACCATTACTACTTCTACTATTACTACTACTACTACTACAACTAATATTTCCGCTACTACTGCCACAACTACGTCTTCTTCTACTATGACTACTACTACTACTACTACTACTACTACTACTACTACTAATACAACTGCTTCTATTACTGATGCTACTACTACTCAAAACGCTATCACTATTTTTACCACGACTTCCACTGATACTACTTCTTCCACTGCTATTATTGTTACTACTTACACGACTGTCACTACATATCGCATGAACTCGAAACTCAGATTCATGTATACCAACGCGCAACGTGTACTTTCAAAACTGAACGAACTCCGTATCCATACCTATGACCTCCATCCAGACGTTAGCTCAATAACAGAAACATGGTTGTCCGAACAGGTTGATGATAGAGAGCTCATGCTCCCTGGGTATCAACTGTTCCGCCGAGACAGAGAAAACAGAAGGGGCGGAGGCCTAGTAAAATTTGTTAAGAATGGCTTGCAAGTTTCAGAAAAAACTGCCCGAATGACTTGTAGTACCGAAGCATTATGGCTGACCATAAGGGCACCGGGCTCTCAAAGTCTCGATATCTTGACAGTATATCGCTTCCCGAGAAATCACCCTGACGCTGATGCCCAACTGCTGGAGGAGCTCAGATTATTTTCAACGCGGCCGACTTCTCTCATCGTTGGAGATTTTAATGCACCTCACATCGGCTGGAGCGCGGCCTCAGCCGACTGCTCTGAAGCAGCATTTGACCAGCAGCTACTGCGTACCTTCGACAACCTGCTTCTCACACAATACGTAATGTTTTCAACGAGAGTTCGAGAAGGCCAACAGATGAACTGCCTCGATCTTGTGTTCACCCAGTCGTCTGACAACATCGACTTTGTGAATTGCCTCCCCTTGTTGGGTCAGAGTGACTATGTAGTTCTCATGTGGGAATACGCATTATTCTCCCTGCCTGCACAACCGCTCGATTCCCGACCTAATATTTGGCGCGGCGATTTCGAACAGATGAAAAAGGATCTTAGTCCTATCTACTGGGCATCCACTCTCTTCGGCGATGTCGAAGAGGCTTGGTGTCAGTTTAAAGAGTTAGTCCGCAACCTCATCTCCACCACTGCCCAATCACGCACAGAAGACTAACAAATAGACCTCGCTGGTTGACTCCGTCCTTAAAGAAGGAAGTTAACAAGAAGAGGAAGCTATGGAAAAGATCACTGACGGATCGCACGCCAGAATCCTTAAGCAACTATAAGTTACAGAGAAATAGGGTCAAAATTCTCCTCGCCAGAGATAGGAAAGCTTTTGAAAAGAATCTTTTGCACCGTGTCATGATTAATCCAAAAATCCTTTACAGTTGCATAAGACAGAGCACACGGAACAAAAATCCTGTCCCACTGCTGCGAACGGCTGAGGGTGTGGAAATCTCCGACGACAGGGATAAGGCTGAACATC